GTACAATTGTCTGCCTAACTGTTTAATTGTGCGCAAAAAACAGAGGAATCTCAATCATAATTTACCTTGTGAAGACAAGGAACAACTAATCTCGAGAAAAGCAGCCATACACTGTAAATTAGTGTAAATTAGGGAGAAAATGGCTAAAATAGGCTGGAAACAGCTGATCGCCGCGCTCGTGACACGCTGCAGCCGCGTCGCGACCCTTGCCGCCTTAGGCATTCTTCACAGTCTGCGGCCCAGCGTTTCTCTAAAAGGAAACGCTCCGGCGAGAAGCTTTTGATACGTATCGATTGGCGGTTGGGCGAAGAGTCGAAAAGCTTTTCGCCGAACCGCCAGAATCTTCGTCGAACGGGGCGGTTGGCGGTTCTCCGATCAATAAGTATTTTTTGCTTTTCGCCGAAGCCGCCGTTTCGTCAGGGTCTCAGACTGTGAACAATTCCTCAATCAAGTGCCCGGATGACGACTGTAATAATAGCGGGATCTTGAGATTCTTGAGTGACACAAAAAATTTCCTTTTGGCCTCTTATCCTCCTCTCGTTCTTTTTTCATTCCGTTTTTATTGCTCCGGCTGTTGCTGTATTTTTTCTACTTTCAAACACATTCAGTTTTCTCAGTGGCATAGTCTTTAGTGATTGCGCTCAGGTGCATGATCGCCGAGGTGATTTTTTTAGTTCTAATGTAGTTTCGCTTGAGTGGGAGAACCTCCAAAGACGAGGATGCTTCGCGCCCAATCTGACTGTATAACTTCTTTACCCAGGTACTTGAACTCTTCGAAAGGAACAACCGAAAGGATAGTCTTCTACAGTTTTGTAGGACCTGATGTCAAAGCCTTTCGAGCGAACATTAGCGTCAGCGACTAGGGAAGTATAGATGTGGATCTAACTAACGCTAGAGTCCAACAACGTCTTGAGGTACTAGGGAAGTATTGTGAGCCACGCCGACTCAGGCGTGGAATCGGCATTCCGGTGGGATGACTCATGACTGTACTTTCAGGGCGTGACGGCGAGGCGAGGACGAGCCGACATCTCAACGACAGTCGATCATCTGCCGATCTCGAGGACGCTCGAGCTTCTTCTCAGTGCCTTCAGGGCGAAGCCCTGCCTCACCCAGAACTGTTGATCTCCTGTTGTCTGTCGTGTCATTGTCGTGCCTATTAGCCTATGTAGTGGATCTTTGCCATTTAATATACTCTTTGTAAATGCCATTTATACACTGATCTCATATGCTTCATTGATTCCTTAAGGATAAACTTTAGTGAGTAGAGAGTCGTTCGACAGAAGCAGGGAATGCAGCTTCCGCGGTGCGCGCTCGCTTACTGTATAGGTATCGATCTGCGAACACCGCCGTTCAGCGCACAGCAGCGTTTTCGCTGGCATTCTGCTAAAGATCAAAAGTGTCCGCGAAAAGCTGCACGCTGGCGTTCGCTAGATCGGTACCTACACTTCCCCATGCGCTGGTGCTGGCGTTCACTCCTACGCTGCCGTACGCTGGTGGACGCTGTCGAAATTGCTGTCACTAAATGGCACCTTCCTATGAGGATACGGTTTGTGATTTGTCCGACCAAAGCAGCTCTGCAAACGGTTTTGAACCGTCTATTATGCTGCAGTTGGTCGGCCCCAGTTATTGAACCAAGGCCACTGTGAATAAAGTAATCACAGAATCGTTTTCTATGGCTCGCTGTTACACTACTCGGTTGCTTAAAATCACATCATTTTCCAACTACATTCTATCACAGGCCACTCCAAGAATACAACTCAAAAAGCAACAGACGTAGCAGTCACATGAAAGGCGCATGTGGTCTTAAAGACATACTGTACCACAGCCTTGGAGGTGAATCTTCCCCATCTGTGAGGTGGGCAGGTCCGCAACTGTGGAAGTGCACCATTTCCTACTCGGAAGTGCGCAAAAAAGGTCGAGGGTCGTGCCAGTCTCATGTTGTGTAATGCTTGATGTTCATTTATATAGGTTGGAAAGAAAGTCCTGTCACTGTTGTGATTTTTTCTTTTTTATTTTCTAACTCAACATGAAATAAAAACTAATCAATAATATAATCGCCATTGTTAGCCACTACAGTGCTCCACCTAATGGGCAACTCAGCTATCCCCTTCTCCCAGAACTGAGGAGGCTGCGAGTCGAAGAAGTAGGCAACTTCTCGATTGATGCCATCAAATTCGCTGAAGGTTTTCTTACCTAGGAAAGCCTTGAGGGAGCGGAACAAGTAGTAGTCGGAGGGGGCTAGGTCTGGAAATATGGTGGATGGGGAACGGTCTCCCAGCCTAGCTCCTCAATTTGGCGGTGGGTCTCTTTAGCCACATGTGGTCTGGCGTTATCATGGAGGAGGTGCACCGAAGCTCGTCTCGGCCGCTTTTCTCGAAGAGCTTGCGCGAGTTTCTGGAGTTGGGCGGCGTAAACGGTAGCGGTAACCGTATGCCCTTGCGGAAGCAGCTCGTGGTGCAGCATGCCCTTCGAATCCCAGAAGCAGCAGAGGAGGACCTTCTTGGAGTGCAGGTTCGATCTGGGTTGCGTAGCGCAGGTCTTTTCCCGAGGGAGGGCCACATGGAACCTGTACGGTTGGAATCATAGCAGCGACCGCAGCTTTAATCTCTAGTCACAATATCCTTCCAAGAAACTCCTTCCGGTTTAGCGGTGTCAGAAAGGAGGGGATCGACATGATCTCACCACTGGCATACCGCGTTGCCATCTGTTAGAAGCATCGAGGTATTCAATCGCGCTGGACTTTCTGTAGCCAAGGGCCTGAAGGCGGCTTAGAGCTGTTGTATGGCTACACCCTAGCCTTGTCGCAATACTGCGCGTGGTAGCCTCTGGATCCTCTCTGACAGGTTCGAGAACGGCGGAATCTTCTACACCGCGAGGGCGTCCCAGACGAGGTTTGTCTTCGAAGATCGTCTCTCCTTTCGCGAAGCGAGCGAACCAACGGTGGACAGTCCTGACGGTGGTGGTGTCCTCCCCCAATGCACAGTTGATGTTACGGGCCGCTGCCGTCGCTCCAGTGCCGCGGCGCCACTCATAGAAGATGATCACTCGAAGCTGCTCCAGTGAAACTGACATCATAAATAAACACAGGGAAGAGCAGGAGCCTTGATATACCTCTTGTGGAAAAGCTTCGAGAATGTTCTACAACCTTAGCATGTTACGTCATGTTCGAGCTTCGAAGATCAAAAACTGTAGGCTATCTAAAAACACTGACAGGACTTTCTTTCCAACCTATACGTTCCGTTTGCTACAATTTTTCCGATGCGCATACCACACATTGTTGAGTGGTACCTACCCAACATGTTCCTGGCATTCAGTTCTTTTTTCGTTGCACGACATGGTTCGACAGTGGATGGTGCTGCACGCTTTCCGAAAACAAAAAAAAAGGACTTCCATGAGAAGACATTTGCGGTGAGAGTTAGCGCCTGTGGCCATGGTTTTGTTTGCGGCTGGCCGTATGGCGTGCTGCGTGTTCGTGGTCCACTTGCCTCGTACCGAACGGTGGAGAAGATATGGCGATTACCGAGCTTTTGAGTGGCGCAAGTGGTACAATTTCACAATCACAGACCTGTACATCCGATGTAAGGGAAAGATCCACTTTGCAGGCATATTTACGTGATTACAGTGTGTCTTTAGAGTAATCTGATGCTGCCCAGAAAGTCCGAGTTACAAGCATCGCATCACATCACAGATGTCAGAGCTTACCTCGATTCTGCAGTATTCCTTCGCGTACATGGCGAACAGTACGACGAAACTGGCGCCGTCGAGTTCGCCACTGTCTGAGGGCCAAGCATGTCCAAGTTTAACACTTCACCGTCTGGCAGTGATGTTGACCTATAAATCGAAGAGGAAACATCTGTGAGCTCTCAATAGCGCTATCAATTTCCTGCGGTGCCTGAACAGCCCAAAAACTTTTAAAAGGCAAACCTCTTCCTCAACGCCACATCATTGTCCGTAGGGAACGATGCACGGCCTGCATGCTGACTGCAATTCCTCGTCGATGAGAATGGTGGCCATCGAGTACTGCGACTAAAATAATCCGTAATGGGGACTGCTAAGGGTAAAGAGGTAAAAACGACAGTCTTGTCAATGAAGCTTAGATTTTTCTGACGGCGCCAAGTTGTTACCTTTGATGAGTGCACGAAACCCTTGGAACTGAGACACCTGGCGATTCCTCTTCATTCACACTTGGCAGTTCTTTGTACGAGTTTCCCATCGATACGACTCCACCATTCATAGCCGAGAAAAATGCACTCGTTTGTGAGTCGTTCGTCTGAGAAAAAGAGACTGTCAACAGCGGCAATGACCCCAATTTGAAACTCATTTATACTACCTGAGCAGGTTGACGTACAGTGCCTATGAATCTTTTAAGGAAGGACTGATCTTTCTGTGCAGAAAGCGAAATTGTGGAGTCGCGATTGAGCGCTGAAAAATAATGTCCAGTGAAAAGAAAAAGACTCACTAAGAATCGCAGAGGCTTCCTTTCGAGCTGGTCAGAAGGAATCACTAACCAAATCCAGAGCCTCTCATCGTTCGGAAGGTGGAATTCCGTGGGAATATCTCCGGTGCTAGGCTCGGTTCCTCTTCACGTGACTCTTCATCATCCGAAAACTCGTAACCCTCCGCATCCAGCAACCAGTACGTTGTCATTGGACCTTTGCCCTGGAAAACAATGGATAAATTCAGCTACTGGAGCAAGCTGTAACAGGAATTCACCTTTATTGTGAGAGTTCCTCTCTCTTCGAGAACAAAACCGGGAATTCGCCGAAAGGACATCTCGCGTTGGTTGAGAGCAATGGATTTTAAGCGCTGAACACAGCCAATTTCAATAATAACCGTAAATTGGAAGAATACTGAGTGATTCGCTTACGTTCTCCATTGCTCTCCATTCGACTCGCAGTATTCACTGTGTCACCAAATAAACAGTATCTGGAAAAGGTTCTACAGTTAGAACAATTCTATAAAGTAGGTAAAACCAAGCTAAACAGGAGAATTCCATTTAAACAGCAAAATCTGTCCCGGAGAAGTGACTTTCGGCCCCACCATAATTGTTTAAATCCAAGGAAAGGCGCAGGGTTAACTCATGGGGGACCATAGGCTAGCATATCCAACATTTGAAAACGCTGTACGTGGGCATGACGCAGTAAGAACAGTGATTGCAAAAATACAAATTGGTCAACAATGCCCGCGATTTTGATGCAGATTGATCTACTCGCTTAAAGGCTGCACACGGCTGATGTCGATTTCAGTGGGAATGAGGAAGAAAAGAAAGCACTGCTGTGGTTTTTCAACACATTCATTAAGGAAAGGGTGAAGAGGTAAGGTAGAGGAGATGGTTCCTGGTTGCTCCCACATATGACCACTGGTCGACAGAGCCAGCCACTTGCGCCACTATACCACCTCCCCTGAATGGCAGGACAAATTAATATCAAAAACTCAAAAATCAAACCTCGGCATAGTTTTTCCTACGACGCCAGCAACACAACTTCCCGTATGAATACCGATACGCAACATTAACTGTTCACTGGGACGGTGAGGTATTCTGAAGTTCCGAACGGCACGCAACAGCCGCAGAGCCATGAGTGCTGGAAGCGATAGAGAGTTGCAACCAATGGAAACGACGCATAATAATGTAATGCTGGTAACTTAAAGAAAAAAGGAAGGAATGGAATCAGGAACCCACCAATTTCCTTGGCATGGAACTGCGTCTCTTTGAAGTTAGGCACACCGGACACAACCATGTAAGCATCTCCAATAGTCTCCACCTATAACGAATTTTTAAATTATACCTTGTCTCGCTGAAGGTAAATCAGCGATGATTCCCTAGAGACAAGCTGTACACTCACTTCCGTCCCTGCCGTGGGTGAGAAGAACGGGTCTGCGGCTGGGCGACGTCCTACTTTCTCTACTCACTGCGCAGGAACGGCGCTGGATGGCAGTGATAACCCAGGGCGACCCCTACTCCGCCTCACGCTGCCTCACGGGCAGTCAAGCGCCCGGCCACAGAAATCTGCGCTGTTTGTCCGCAATGGTAGGTCTCTGACGCTGAGAACGTCTTCCGTTGCGAAGCCCAGGCATCGACGCAAGTGCTGCACCTGGAGGATAGCGCGGACGGAGTATGGAGATGGTCGGGTACCAATAACCTAGCTCCGTTTCCCGTGCGCTTCGAGCGGAGCGAGTGGCACACCACTGCAGCTGTGGACCCATTCCTCCCGTACACCATAAGGACAGTCCTCGCAGGTGAGGGTAAGTTTGTCTTCAAAGGCATACACGACAATTCTCATGCATCATCCTTGTAATTGAACCTCACTCGGACCGAACAGCTTACTTTTCACAACGACCAGTAGTGGGGTGAAACAGTTGCGGCGCCCCCCCCCCCTCGGGTTTAGCCTTGCAAAACAAGACGACCAGACAATCGACCTCCAGTTTTGCGGCGTAGCACCTCCTAACAACCTTAGCCTCAAGCAATACCAAGATAGAAAAAGGGGGCTGGCGCAAGTTTCCAGACCGTCTGGAGAAGCATGACTCCTGCTCTCGCGCAACACCACCTTCCTCACTACTGCCATTTACGGTCAACTTATCACCCACGTTCCCAAGTTCTCACTTCATTCACTGTCTGATAATTATAACTCCCCACCTTATATACATCATACTTCTGAATTATCCTATCGAACTTCGTGTACAATTTGTTCAAGAACGTCACAACCTACAACAAAGTAAATTAGATGAGGTTTCAAATAAGCTACTTAAACAGTTGATAGTGACAGCATTGCCTTAACACAAACCTGCATAGGGGTGGATTCTCCAGAAATACGAGTGAAACCAACAATATCAGAGAAATAAATAGTGACCGATGGGAATGATTCCGGAACCACATCTTGTCCATCCAACAACTGCTGCGCAACACTCCTGGAAAAACAGCGAAATAAAGCCTTGAAAGCAGAGCACATCACCTTTTCCCATTAGAAAGCTCTGAACGGTGGGGTGAATAGGGGTCGTATTTCGCCTTTTGTTTAGAATTTTTTGTTCGCGGATTTTCGACGCTTCGCGCTATATACCTCAGAGTCAGAAACCAACAACTTTACTGTTCCTGACTGTAAGTCGCACCTGTGTACCCTCTCCCCCTATCTTCTTCATCCAACGAAGTTTGTTTTGAATGTTCGTCTTTAGAGGTGAATTGAAGAACTCTGGGGAGCGCAATTTTTTCACATCCTAATGACAAGTCGTGTTTCAGGAATGGATAAAATATGTCCTGATAGGGAACGCTTAACCTTGGAAGGATTTCTGGTTTCTATAGCTATTCATGATAGGTCCAAGTCGCGGCACCACGCGCCTAGAACATTTGTTAGCTAGTTGACTTGACTGACACAGCGCAGAGAAAACTAGTCAACCTGGGA